AGCAGCTAGATCAGCCTCTCGAGGAGCTGGTTTGAGAGGCGCGGCTAGAAGCTCTAGCACTGCTCCGACAAGGAATGGAGGCAGAACTCCTAGCGCCGACCCAACTTTGGCTCATCGAGAGGAAGACGATGAAAAGGAGGGTATCTGGTTGGAGAAAGGCGTTCATGGGTGAGTCGTCGAGCTTTGCGAGAAGTCAGCGAGGAGTAGGTCTTATGAACTTCGCATGAACACGCGTGCATGCGCCCGCAGGATCGCTGCGAAAGACTGTCGAACTGACGCTTTGTCTCTCGTACAGCTTTGAGTTTGCCTTTATCATACCCGCCGATTCCCCGCCTTATGAGCGCAGTCCATACGGACGGGTGCGCTACACTATCAAAGCTTCCGCGTACGGGGCTGGTAGAGCCAAGAGTAGTGTCGAAGGTTGGAGAGACACGTTTCCCGTAGGTGAGCATTTGGTATTGTGCGCGCTGCATCTCAACACCCAGTGCTGATCTCAGATACGTGCTCCTTAGTAAACCCTGCTCCTGATGGTGGGCCTACACCGCTCATGGTGCTGTACAATGATGTGCATCCTACTCTTGGCGTGGTATCCATCGCCTGCACCTCCAATAACATCAGCGTTGGGGGGTGAGTCATGCGCATTTCTGCAGCCGCTTCATCGATTCAAGAGTCTGACCCCTCCTCCGTCTCACCTCATTTCAGCGTCTTCAACATCGACATTCACTCGCCGACACCGCCGCGAGAGCTGCTGGTCTATCTTGTGCGCGTGTCGCTGGAAACGACTGTCGAAGTGCGCACCAGACGCAAAGGCGTGCAAAAGGCGCCTTTGCACAAGCACAAACTTTGGGAGAAGGGTTGGGTGCCACCAAGACCGAAAGATCCTCATGGTCCAGGTGACGGAAAGAAGAGCGAAGGGTTGGTGAGAGATCCAAATCGAGTCGGATCGGGAGCTGAAGACGCATGGTCTGTTCAAGGTGTCGCTCGAATGCCTCACGATAACCAGACGAGAGCAAGCACCGTGGCGGGCTCCAAGAGCAGCATCCGATACACGCATCAGCTACTGGTCGAGGTTGTGCATAGTCGAGACGCGTTTGCGCCAGAACACGAAAGAAAGCTCAAAGTCTTTGCGCTCAGACAGCCCGTGCTTCTGCCCAGCTGCTGCGTCGCGTTTGACAGCGTGCTTCTTCCGCAGTACTCTGCGCAGGATCCGAGCGCGAGGAGCGCTACGATGCCCTACGACTTGGCCTTGCAGCACGAACACCTTCGAAGCGCCTCTGCCAACTCGGTCATGATTGGAGCTGGTGCGCCTCAACATCCTCAGCCTGGCTCTTGGTTGAATACGGCTCTGCCTGCGACTGGAGAAGGGCACGATGCGTGCGTGTGCGGTCTAAGCACCGAGGACTTGGCGGAGAGGGAAAGGCAGATGATACCACCCGCACCCAGCGGTGGCTATCGATACTCGATCGATGCGCCTGTAGGCCAATTGCGCTCGCACGGCAAGATCGGAGAGCTGCCTGAAAGCAATGGAGGATTGGCTCGAAGTCCTAGCAGGAGCAGTATCAGATCGGGCAGAAGCATCAGCAGATCCATCTCTCGCAGCATCAGTAGAGCCAGAGCTCCTAGCCAAGGAAGCGCTCATCGTAATGCCGCCTCTAACGGCGAGGCGGACGGCTCGACCAGCGAAGGCGTCATTCGAGCAATGAGGAGAGGATCTCTACCTCCACCCCTCGACGGGGAGCAAGACGGAACGACTGCAGCGCGTAGGACCAGCTCGGCCATCTCCAATGGCAGCGGCGAACCCGTCACAGGCATCGCTCCTTCTTCACAGAGCGCTCGAACTGATCTGCCACCCCCACCCACTTACGCATCGCTGCGACATGCCAGTGACGAGTCGGAAGCGCGCGAGCTGAACGGCGAAGCTGGACAGTGATGTGTCCAGTCGTAAGCACAGGCGCGCTTGCATTGCAATGATAGGAATAAAT